CCTTCCCCAAGGCTGCTTTTTAAAGTGGTTGAAAAAAAGAAGATATGCAATCTAAATTATGTTTGGCCCCTAGGAGAGCCATCATTGATGGGGGTTTAGCAGAAGGGGGTGCAGACAGAAAGTAGATGTCAGAGGAGGATGCAGTAGGAGACAAGATTGTCCCTGTGCTTAGGAGAACCATTATGTTATTGTTGTTGTTCTTTATATAGTTTGATTATTTGGCTTTTGCAAGATAGGTTGGGTCAAACATACTCGTGAAACTCTCTTTCCCAATACCTCATTATAGTTTTTTCTCACCCCATTTGCCCTTGTTACCTGAAGTAGATGTTGAGTTCCTTGTAGTTGCCACCACATTGCTCCCGGGTCATCTCCAGAGTGTCAGTATTCGTAAGAGGGATTCAGTTGCATACTATTAAGCCTTGTGTGTGAAGGTGATTCATGATCAATTGAGAGCTCCCTCTGGAGTGTCTCATTTGCATGCTCAGGACAACAGAGGCATGAGCAAGAGCAGGCCCACTGTCTGCCCTGTGTGTGGAATTATATTCCCAGGGCAATTAACTCACCCAAGCTCTGGGGATTAGTCGGAAGCAATGCAAGACCATGTAGGGTGCATTCCGGTTGATCAGGATTCAACCAGGACTGGAGTGGCATTTTAAGATTCCTTACACCTCTTCCCCCACCTTCAAACCAGATAGTTCTAATGCCTTATTGCCGGCAATGAGACTTTTGGACAACAAATTTTAAGAGCAGGGTCATGTCACACAAGCACCACTTGGTTATTCAAAACATGTTGACTCTCAGATGCAGTATATTTATACATGTAACTACTGAGAAGATCCATAAAAAGCAACCATACAAAAATGAATTATTTTGAAAATAAAAAATGGGGGGGGGGGTTGTCCTCAGGGCATCATATTATTTAAGTGCCTGATGGCTATTTTGCCCACATAAACCATCACTTGATGCCAAACTCAAACAATGCAAACACAGCCCCATAATATAAACAAAGCTCAGAATGGTGAGTTTGGAGTAAGGGCACACCTAGCTCTCAAACCATCATCATTAGTATTGTAGGGCAGCCATCCATGGAGTTGAATTACACATTTTGCCCCATCTCCCATGGCTTTTCCCTCATACTCTGAAAGTCACACTGGCTATGTTGTGGCAGAAGACTCAGAGTCAGCAAACAGCAGCTTCAGGCAGCTACCAAAGCACCAGCATCCTAGCCGAGCCCACTACCAAAGACTCCCATGAATTAATTCTCTGATCTGTGCCAAGTGACACAAACCAACATTTTAAATTCCCACAATGCCTTGCAGCAACAATTATATTTGGAGCATTGTGAGAAATTTAAATAGTGTAAGCCTACCAGAGGGCCCAAGGGGACGTGGGTGGTGCTGTGGGTTGAACCACAAAGCCTAGGATTTGCCGACCAGAAGGCTGGCGGTTCGAATCCCCACAACGGTGTGAGCTCCCGTTGCTCGGTCCCTGCTCCTGCCAACCTAGCAGTTCGAAAGCACGTCAAAGTGCAAGTAGATAAATAGGTACTGTTCCGGCGAGAAGGTAAATGGTAAACCTAATGGTCAGCGGTCCCTTTACCTTTACCAGAGGGCCCACTAATATCGGAGAAGGGGGCACCAGATAGGAAGTTACCACGGGAACCCTCAAACCTGCAGCCAGACTTACTTGTGATCGTATATTTTGCCCCAAAACTGTGGCAAGGAGCGCCATATTTAATCAGGGACCCATTAGCTTGGGGGCTGAAGTTAACCCTTTCTCTTGTGACATTTCCTTGGTGGAATGAGGTCAGTGACTGTTTCTGACCTCTCAAAGGAAGCCCCATCCGATGTGTCTCTGGAGGCATAGTTGAAGCCACGCGTGGGAAACTCAGTCCAAAAGTCATACGCAACAGACCAGCTTTACATTGTGGTCCAGTACAAGCCCTTGCTTTGCAATCCATCAGCACATAGCAGGTTCAGTTCACTTCTCTCCCCAAGTTTTCATGACCAGAAGCCCATGTTGTATACAGAATATCCAATACACCGCAGAATGTCACTGTGTGTCATGAACGATTTTGCCAGGAAAAACAAGGTTAGCATTGTTTGCTCTGTTCAGCTATAAGAAACTAGTGTTATGAAGCAAGTGCTCATGTCAGGCATGAGCTATGAGCCCATAATATTGTGAAAGGGGCCTGGAAACTTAAGTCATGACTCTTGCATCCTTCATCCAGGAATTACACTGCTTGGTTTAGGATGCACCATGTGACATTAGGAGGCCTGTCGGTATGTAAGCATGTAGCTATAGGAACATCCAAGCAGCTGAGCTCTCTCCCCCCCCCCCCTGTTTCTATTCCTAAGCTTTGTTCCCTCTCACCCTACAGGGAGATCTGGGCTGAGCCAAGATGGGATTACTAGCGTGCAACAGCCTAACATGATCATCACCATCCATGGAACTGCGGCTATGTGCTTAGGCTTGCAGCGCTAGACCAGAGTACTGAACAGCTCAATCACTTCTTGCAAGCACAGCCCCGTTCATCTCTACACAAAGCTTACCACCTTCAGACAACTCTATACAACATGTTTTGTGACTGGTGCCCAATGGGATCAGTAGGGCAAAAGGCAGGGAGACCAACAGTAGGTGGGACCAGAGCCAATGGCAGATAGAAGAAGAAGAAGAGGAGGAGTTTGGATTTGATATCCTGCTTTATCAAAGGAGTCTCAAAGCGGCTAACATTCTCCTTTCCCTTCCTCCCCCACAACAAACACTCTGTGAGGTGAGTGGAGCTGAGAGAATTCAAAGAAGTGTGACTAGCCCAAGGTCACCCAGCAGCTGCATGTGGAGGAGCGGAGACGCGAACCCAGTTCACCAGATTACGAGTCTACCGCTCTTAACCACGACACCACAGGTTGTAAGTACAATGGGTGTGGGGTAGGCTGGTTGAGGGCAGACTAAGATTGGCAGAGCAGTGCCCAGTTAGAATGAATGGACCACACTCTACTGACTGTTCTGCCTTGTCAAGTGGTAAAATTGGTACTGTAATCTAGAGTAGTTTCTTGTGCAGCAAACTTCCATGCTTTTGGCCAATAGGGAAGTTGGTTGAGGGTTGGGCATCTAGCCTGTTTTTGTCATGACCCTAGAGTTAGGCTCCCCTTCTCTAGGGGATGAAGTCAAGGAATCTGTAGTGCCAGCTCTAAATATGCTTCCAGCAGAGGAGCCTGTGGTGCTGGTGGTCCTCTGGGCTGAGGAAGTGGCACAACCATCCTTGTGTTCCAATGCAGAAGACCAGAGGTGACCCTGCTTTGTTGCAATAGGAGACCAGAAGAACAGGTTAGACCTCTACCTGAAAAAGCACATTCCAGTGTGAGCAGGGCTAACAATTGGAATACAGCAGCTGCCACGATATAGGGCTGTGTCTCAGTATATTTATTGCTGAAAAGAAGCACCAGAGCTCTGTGTTCCTATAGCGCAGCCTGAACCTTGAAACCAGACTGAACCTTGCCTCACTTTGCACCCAGCTTGAGCCACAACTTGTAATGCGTCGAGCCGCAGCCTTGCCTCACTGCAAAGTGGGACAGTTTTGGACAGGGGTGCACTGCCACTGAAGGATGAGCCCCACAGCTTGACGTCTGGCTTTGCTCCTGTGTGATTAGATTGTGGCTGGGAGCATTTTTCCACAACTTCTTTTGGTGAACCACCTGTGCCTTTCCATGGAGAAGGCAGATCTGGTCATTATCACACATCCAGGTCTGACTACCATAACGCTCTTTGAAATATGTGTAAAAATTGAAGTGGGTACAGAATGCTGCGGCAACTGCTATTAAGAGTCATGCGTTGTATTATTCCCAGTTCATTTAACACTCATACAGTGGTACCTCGGGTTAAGTACTTAATTCGTTCCGGAGGTCTGTTCTTAACCTGAAACTGTTCTTAACCTGAAGCACCACTTTAGCTAATGGGGCCTCCTCCTGCTGCCACGCCGCCACCGCGTGATTTCTGTTCTCATCCTGAAGCAAAGTTCTTAACCCGAAGTACTATTTCTGGGCTAGTGGAGTCTGTAACCTGAAGCGTATGTAACTTGAGGTACCACTGTAATGCTGTTTATGACTTTTAGAGACCCATATATTTTGAAACCAGATTATCTAAACATCTGCCTCCTACTGTGAATGAGTTAGCTTGCCCACTGAAGCTTCCATGGTGGCTCTCCTCCATGTCCCATCACCACCAGAAGTATGATTGACAGTAATATATGAGCTGGGGCTTTTTTTTCTTCATTGCAGTGCCTAGGCTTCCTCAATTTGATGTCCTCCAGATGTTTTGGACTCCAACTCTCATCAGTTCCAGCCAGCATGGACAATTATCAGGGATGACCAGAGTTGGAGTGCAAAACATATACAGGGAACCATATTGGGGAAAGCGGGCCTAGGCCACAGAACTCCTTCACCATGCTACAGCTATTACAACACTCTTTGAAAATCATTTTGTTTCATCAGTTGTTTGGTTTAAAGTGATGGTTGGTTTCTCTGGCTTTATTGCTGCTTTCTTTGTTGCTGTGCTTCTGGTGTCTGCTGCTGTACTTTGTATTTTATATTTATATGTGTAGTTTTTTCATTTTACTTAAGTTTTTTTATGTTGTAAGTCAATCTCTCTCTCTCTCTCTCTCTCTCTCTCTCTGTGTGTGTGTGTGTGTGTGTGTGTTAATGTTTAATGTTTTATTATGTTTCTATATATTTCAGAAGCTGTCCAGGGTTGCTGGGGCAACCCAGTCAGATGGGCAGGGTAGAAATAATTATTATAATAAAATTCTATTATTATTGTTGTTGTGTGGCCAAAAGTGATGCTCCCTTGTGCTCCGCAGATTTGTTGGAAAAGCTATACATTTGAATCTCTATCGAAAATTGTGTATATTTAAATCTGTGCACAGAACATGACCCCAAAGAATCAAAACAATGAGACAAAGTATTTAGACAAGAACTCCAAAAGGTGTTTTTTTTTCTTTTTTTGGCACAAAGGGGAAAATAGATTCCCTTCTGCTTTTAATAACTCAAAACAAACAGAAGTCAGAATGCATCGACTCAACATTGATCCACAAAAGGTTGATGAACAAAGCCAAGACCCCTCCGTTCCCCCTCGTACCACCCACAGGAAACAATGAAAGGTAGAAAGTAAAAACGACTGAAGAAGTAAACAAAATGTAATGAGGTTCATTTCCTTATCAAATGTCACATTTGTCAGTTCATCCATACTCACAGGTTGTTTACTTATCACGTTCAAAACTAAGACCTTGCAATGGAGTTGGACACTTCTTCCTCTTCCATTCTTGATGCTGAACAGTGGCTCTTTGTTTTGTGTGTGTTTTTTCTCCGCATATATATAGAGATATAAAAACTACTTTTATCAACACTGAGAAGTTACACTCCTGGTCATTGTGAATTATATTTGGAAGTCCAATCATGCAGAACTACAGGCGGGTGCAACTTAGGTCTTATTACAGGATGGACATGGCAAGGTGAACAGTTTGGTTTCGCTAGTCGGGTTGGGAAGATCCTGGTACCATTGTTGCAAAATGTATTACTGGCCGTAAGTCCCACTTACTCAAATTTACTAAATATACATAATTCTCTATATACATATTGAAGCCCCCGACCCTTTTCCTTATCGGCCGAATGCCAACAGAGGAAATGATCGGGGGAACCATATGGAGGTGTACAGTGGTCTTTGAGAAATACAGACAGAGTGATGGATTGTTACAGACAAGTTACAAAGAGAGAGAGGGAGAAAAATCAGTATGGATATTTACATACTATGAATCTTACTATGTAGGAGAAATGTACAGCCCTGCTCAACCAAAAGCAACCAATTTGTTGCATTTAGTGAATCTCGTTTTCTCAGGGCCAAATTTTTTAAAGCTGTCCAAAGGCCGTCTAGTTCCACTGAAGCCAGTATCAGAGAGCTGCCTTAAACTGAGTCGGGTTGTCTGTCTGCTTCAGGGAGACCTACTCTGACTAGCTGTTGTCTAGGACCTCAGGCCAGCTCCTGCTATTATCTGAAGATGCTGAGAACCAAGCCTTGAAAATGCAGGTCTTTTGTTCTTTCTTTGAGCTTCATTATGCTAAAGCACATTGTAAGACTCAAGAGTCAAGGGTTGGAAGACTCAAGACAGGGTTACAAAAGGTGGCACATTTGCCCAGCAGAGCTACCTGTGTCTATACAGGATTGCTGATATTCACCTTGGGAAAGCATCCATGACTGTTTCAGGGATAAAGGACTACCCTTACAAAATTCATACACCCCAATCCAGTAGGAGATATCCATGCACACTGACAGAACGCAGTTGTATATTTTATGAGTGTACGCAGTGCAGTGCACATGCCTGCACTCTCACTTGGAATACCAGTCACACGCAACACGTTGTTGTATACAACTACAGCCAGAATTTTTTTTGGGGGGGAGAGGTGTCCCTGTTTCCTAATTATAGTACCAAAGCAATGCCAAGACAAAACTGTAATGTCAATCCAGGAATTAAAGGATAGGCAAATGGATTTTTTAAAGGGACGGAAAGAAAGAGTAAATTCCTACCCCAAAACACAAAACTCGCCTTTTGCATTTCCCACGCCTGAAATCGAAATTTACGTCTTGCATTTGCTTGAATGGACATGGATTTAATAACTAACTCGCGCCCCTGCCCTACTTTGCATTAAAAACACCGGCACAAATGGTCAACTTGGGAGTAAAGGGGTGTCACTTATAAAAATGCCCTAAATTTTGAAATTATTAGAAGGAACACCTTTGGATATTTTGACTCTCCTTTTCTTTGGAGGTGTCTCAATGTGTCTTTTGATTTATAATATTCCTTCTCAGGGCAATTTTATCCCCTTCCCTATTCTTTTCAAGATGGGAAACCCAAACCACAATCCAGTCAAAGGGTACATAAATTGAAATTGTTTTAGAGCCATGAAAGCTTAATTGAAGAAGACTTGGCTAAAAGTCATCCGTTCCCCCTCACACACATGCCAACACACATACTCTTTTACAGAGTCATTTGTCTCCTGTGAAACTGGGGTGGAGGGTTCTGGGTGAATTGGAGAAATTGCCAGGGGACTTACCATAACAGGTATGAGGGAGCAGGAGTTGGGGGGCAACTGTGTTAAAAACAGTAACCAAGAATGCCCCCTGGGAACAGTGCGCCAGATCTTCAAGCAATGGCAAAACTTTTAACAATGAAAAAGAAACCCCAAAAAGAAAGGGGGGGGCCTGAGACAACCCTCTGCCATATGCACATATGCCATGTAGAAATTTCTCTTGGCCACTGAAGATCACAAAAATCTGGGGAGGGGGATTCTCCTCTCCACAAATGCCACTCAAATAAGATGTGAATGTAATTCTTTAATTGCAAAGAAACAAGGGGGAAGAGAGCAGATTCCGTGTGTGTCGTCTTCATTGGGACTGCTACACAGGCAGATAGGGTTAACCCCCTGAATTTGACAAAGTGCCAAATTCATCGCCTTCCCTATTTCCCACCACCCTGGCTGCTATTTAAAAATTCTCAAACCAGGCACGTTAAATCTAATCATGCAATTACAGCCATGTCTAGTTTGGTCTTTAGACAAGCACATTCTCACCGTTCTTTAAATTAAGAATCTCGCCACCAATCTCACAGGGTCTGCTGAGCTCAGACTATTACTTTCAACATATAGAAGGTGCCTTAAATTGTTAATAATTATATAAGATGGGAATAAGCTGTTTCAAATCAAAGTTCTCCCGTTTAAGGCAGCGCTCCAGAAACTAGTTAAGCCTCAATCTGTGCAGCTCTTTGGAGTTATTGACTTTACAGAAGCTATTCCAAAAGTAGATGGACCATTGACTACAGGCTCCCATTTTTCATTTCTGAACAGAAATGAAGTTTGAATAACACAGCCCATGAGCCAAGCATTCTTTTTATAAGAAAATGAGATCTAGTATATCATATGAGCAGGGCTATTTTTCTCCAGCTCATCAGTTGGAAAAAGACACATTTCTTCCCTCCCCTTGGCCCAAAAAGCTTTTTCCTCATTAAGTTCTTACACATCTGTGAAATAATTCAAGTCCACTGTGTTACCCTCCCTTCATTAAAACCATCCTTTGAAATTCAAACCAGCTCAACCATCAGACTCTTGACAGTGCAGGGTTCTAGTCAATATTATATGGACAATTTCCAGTCTTAAAAAAAGGCAAACTCATATTAAATTTAGCAGCCCATCAAGAGACCAAACATTTGCACATACCTAGCAAAACTACCGGCTTCCTTTTCTTAAAAATAAGCCATACTAAACCAGTATGCTTCCCAAACTAGCCATACAAAATCTAATTCTTCTTGTAAAATACATACTTGGCCAGTAGCCTTCTCTACCAGACCATTCAAGTCAGACACAACTGAGAACAGAGCTTCCAGAACAATTCCAATGAACTAAGAAAGCAGGTTAAATTTTCTTACTGTGAGGCTGCAGAGGTGGTAAAAGTTTCATCTGCGACTTCTGCAAAGCTGGGACAAATATAGGAACCCTTGTCCTCTTAAAAGAGTCCTCTATTTCAGGAATGAACAGAGGCCTGGAGAATTAGCTTTCCTTTTACCAGAACCTGAGAGACACCAACTGTAGCCAGGTGCAAAAGATAAACACTTAGAATCAAAGCATTCTAAGGCACCTGAACTCACAGTTGCTCCACACAATGATACTCCTCACCCACCCACCCATTCCTTCATTCCAGCAGTATAATTTAGGGGGAGTTATTTGGTAAATCTACTCCAAACCACCTGGAGATCTGCAAGAAGTTCCCAAAACTACTTTCCTTAGCCCTGTTTCATCATTTTCACCTCCAAGTCTGTGAACTAGACCCAACCACTGCATACAAATGATAAAATTCCCTACACATAGAAAATGAATATTTAGTGGAAGAGTTTCGCTGTACTTATTACATCCATATCCCACCTTTCCTTGTGATTTTGCCCTCCCAATTTTCTTCTCAGAATGGCAGGCAAGGTAGCTTAGGCTGGGCATTCGTGGCTGGCCCCAAGTAAAAAAACTGAGATTCATGGGAAGTTGAACTTGTATCTCCTTGACGCTAGTCTGAGACTCTAACCCACTGCACTACGTAGCTGCCTTATAGGCAGAGATTTCTTTATAGATGGTGGACTTTCATAGGAGCTGTCCCTACACTCAGGTGACAAAGCCTGGGCAGTTAAATGCCACCTCTCCAGCAGTTTGTGGGAAATACACAAAAAAGATTGTGGTGGTTGCGTTTTCAAAATGCCCTAAAAGCACTGGTGGGAACTCTTTTCTACAAAGCTTTACCCAAGAGCTGAGAGTAGATTTGCCACCTTCTTCCTTGCAGGGGGGCTTTGCGCCTTTAATAGCTGCACAACAGCCTGAAATTTAAATGGTGCAGCTTTCACCAGCACATGGTAATGCACAGTGCTTTTTTTTCTGGGGGGAACGTGGGGGTAAACGTTTTGCGAATCTAAGTTTGGCCTCATTGAGGGGCAGTATTTCAATATGAGTAGGAAAATGAGAGTACCCCTAAACATTTTTTTTGGGGGGGGGGGAGCACTGGTAACGAAGCAAAGGAAAAGCGGCTTTTAGATGGCAGCAGGCAACTGACTTATAGCCCAGCCTCAGTTTTCCTTTAGTTCAGTGGGACATTATTATTATTTTTGTTTCAGGTGGGATTTTAACGGGCTTCGTAAAGCCAAAACTCAATACAGGAACTTCCTTATCCACTTCAAATACAACGTCAATTGAATTATGCACGTTTCTTCCAGTAAAAAAAAAAAGGACAATATAAACAAACATTTTCAAGAACCTCTCAAAGTGTTCAGTTTTGATTTCTGGATTCACTTTTTACAGTAAAATAGCTTTTTACTAAACCAGCACGAATCATTTAAATCTTTTACTAATACCAAGGTGGTTTGTATTTGTTGCCCTCCCTTACTATGCTAAGAGTTGAACTCAAGCGCATTGCACTATTTCAAAGAAAAAGGTTTGCTGTTTAAAGTTGTAGGGCCCCATGTGTCACTTAAAGTGAGCTCAGTGGGACATTAAGGACCTCCAAAGCTTCTTGGGTTGACCAGCATTGGGGGGGGGGGGGAAGTATACTTAGTGGATGCTTATTAAGGCAACTTTGAGTCTAGCTCAGTCGGTAGAGCATGGGACTCTCAGGGCTGTGGGTTCAAGCCCCCATGTTGGACAAAGGATTCCTGCATTGCAGGGGGCTGGACAACCCCCCCTGGTCCCTGCCAACTCTACAGTTCTGTGATACGAAGTTGTTTTTCTGTAATAACGCCTGCTGCACAATAACCAAAAACCCTGTAGGAGATGTCAAGCACCACTGTTGGACCTTTGTTTTATTCAGCCCGCTAACTTTAAAAATGTTTCTAAATATTTGAAGGGAGAAAAGGGGGGTGGCTGTATGGGCTTAAGTCTTGTGCCAACTTTCACCTAAAGCATTCAAGTTGAATTGGGAGGTTGCCACCTGAATAAAAGCTGAAACCCCTGAGTATTCTGAGGAAATGAAAAACAACGTCAATAACACTAGCAAAACGTATTCGTGATTGGCTGGGGTTCAGGACCTTGCTGCTATGAGCCATACATCTAATGTGCCTAGCCCTGCCTTCCGAGACAGCAACTCTTAGGTTTTGATGCAAATATCAGGATATCTCCTAGAGCACCACCTCTTTGAACAGGGGTGAGGAACCCTTTTCTGTCTGAGGTTAACATTCCCTTTCAGGAAACCTTCCTAGTGGTTAGTGCTACTGGTGATTGGGGAGAGGGATGGCAATATATGTGCCTCTTACCATTGCTAAGAAGGCTACATTGCAGCCAGGCAGAAGTCATGAGGGTATTCCACCCCACCCCATTCTCCATCCAGCCAAGCAAGATGGATGATTACAATTCAAAGATGCAATTCAGGCAGGCCAGAGCACTTGAGGAAGGTATGCTATAGGGCCAGCAAGACTTAGAAGAACAGATATGAGAGTGTGGCCTGAAAGTCAAAGGGCAGATGTGCCATGGGAATGACATTCATTTCTCAGCTCCCATTTTGTCTCAGCACTCCATATATATATATATTTTGCGTTAACGAGGCTATTTACGGCCTCCCTTCTAGGCTGGACCTGCTACAACAGCACTGACCGGGTTGCTATCTTTCAACGGGCGAATTATGGGTGGCTCATCATCTGCCGCTTGTATAGGCAGGACCAAATTTACAGAACTGTGTCTTACAGACAAAATTTCAGAAGCTAAATTTAAGGCAAGGCAGCAGACTCCCACTAACTGCCGATCCCTTGCTTTCATCATCTTTTCATCTGACCTACATACACTAGAATGTCTGAAATGGCAACGAGATAGATGAACAGTGATGGAGGACCCTCTTGAATTGTGTTTAAAGCCTTTTAAAAAGCCATCCTGTGTATGTTAGTTATGTTAGAAAAATGTTTATTTTTCTTTGGTTGGAATCATTGCCAATCAGTTTCCCTGGATCCCGTCGGCCAACCTTCCTCAAGCACCAGTATTTAGAAAGAGATACTTTCTCTCTTTACATGCTTATTCCAAAGTGTTAATTGTTTTAGATGTCTCTGTCAGGCCCATGCTACATTTTCTGTTCCCTAAGCCAAGCCCCCTAACTTTTTAGACATGTCACCCTAAGAAAGAAACTAAGGCCCTTGAAAATATTTTAGATCCTCTCATTCTTTTCTATATTCTGATTATATCGTTTTTGTTATGTCAGTCGGCCAGAATGACACCTCTAAATGAGGGTGGGCCACAGATTTCTGTAACAGTTTCAGGATCTGTGCTTGCTTGGTTTCCAGCTTCTTGCCTAATAATTCCTAACACCACATCTGCCCTTTTCACAGCTGCAGTACAGTCAACCGATGTTTTCAGTAAACACTCTATGATCTCAAGGTTATCTGTCTTTCCTTGCTGGCTGCAGATTACTGACTTTCGTTTTATCTTTTCCCAATGAACATGGCTTGGCACTTACATGGAACTTCATCTGCTATTCTATTCCCCAGCCACGCATTCAGGAGAGTTTTCTGAAACTCTCCAATGGGATTTCGCCCCCCGCCCCTGAGTAACTTAGTATCACCAGCGAGTCTGGATGCTTCAACGCTGTTATGGATTGTGGCTTCTGATATTGACAAGCTAATGGTCATCAATTCCAAAAGGCTCCCTGTCACCTGTGGTCTCAGCACCAAAACAGTGGACAGTGGAAAGTGGCTTTTTAAAAAATTGCCCATTATATCTGGGCAACAAAATACACAGCTAGCAGATGCCATTATTGCCATTATTGCTTAGAGCGTCATTTCTCTGTTATTGCCTTCGTGGCATCCTCAGTGCACTACTGTGTCCCATTAAAGTACTGCCATTTCTTGTGCATTGGGATTTCATGTGGGCTGAGTTAAGGTTAGTGCCACACACAGATATCGTTTCATGGCTTTCAGAAAGAATACGCGGGAAATCAATCAAAGCTGCTTTGTGGCTTCCATTTCAATGGAAGACGCATGTGGTAACTGTGATGCACCGGCAGCAATTGATAGATTTCCCCCTATATTGCTATTTATTTTTATTTAGTTATTATTATTTTTTGCAGTAGTGACTTTTTGCTTATTGCTGCTATACATACTGCACTAACAAAAAGTGTTCCGTTCCTTTTTATTTAAGGAAAATTCTACCTGCCCTACATCTTTATTTAGTAAGTGGAAATGAAATTGTCTGGTCATAACTATTTCAGGAAGGATATGCTTCAAAATTTGTTTATGGCCCCCTTTCAGAAGAGAAAGAATGTGTGCTTCAGTCTGGGCCAGGCATGGCCAAACTTGGCCCTCCAGCTGTTTTGGGACTACAACTCCTATCATCCCTAGCTAACAGGACCAGTGGTCAGGAATGATGGGAACTGTAGTCCCAAAACAGCTGGAGGGCCAAGTTTGGCCATGCCTGGTCTAGCTGGTGTCACTCAAAGGGGTTACATTGTGGCCACTGTGGGTTGTTGGTTTTTTACACATCTGTTTATTTGCCTCCATGAAAACATTATTAGCACTTGCTTTAAAAATTAAAAAAAAAATAATTAGTTTAGTTTCACACTATTCAGCCATGTTAGGAATGGCTGGTTTCACATCTGACCAAAAATAAATGTTAAGAGTTGTGTTTGTATTTTGTGCCATTTGATTATGGCATAAAGGCTGACTCTTAGAGGTTTATCCCTAAAGTTTTGACTCCTGGTCTCCTGGACAAATTTCAACATAGTGTAGTACATGACACCTCAGATTCTTAAAAATAAAAAATGTTGGGTTGCCATCCATTCATGCACACAAGTATCTGTAGAATCTGTATATCTGATTTCTGGGGGAGGGGGGTTGGGGACGAGTCAGGTCACTGCTTGTGTAACCGCTTTTGGTGTAGGTCTGGGGAATTTTCAGATTATGTGTTGCAATGAAAAGGTAGCAAAGAGGGAAATTGTAAAGCTGAAAGCAGCTAGCCGTTCACTGTCCTTCCAATTAATGTTGGGAATGGTTAAGATGCAATTTTTTTTTAAAAAAGAGAGAATTGGAGTTGTTCACAGGCTAGGTTGGTGCTGCTCCAAACCTCCTTTCTTTGATGCACTAAACAGCTATACACGTAATAAATATACATTAGAAACACCCCTTTCTTTTAATCTGACTCCCTTGCCTTGTCGCTCCAACTGGAGCATTCTACGTGCACAGAGAGGCCGTCCCAATGAGAAGCCTATCTGCCAATAAGCAACAGTTCTGGTTATGGAGAACCTCTCTCTAGTGAAGGTCTTCCAGACTGCGACCACCTAGAGGTCCTTCATCATGACCAAATAAATGATAGGGTTTGGGAACAACAAACACAGGTGTTCTATTTGCCTCCACTCAATATCATTCATCTTTCACTTCTGCCTTGATTCAGGAGCCTGCTCCCCAACACCAGCATGAGTTTTACTACAAAAGAAGAAGTTTACAACCTTTCTTGCCTAATAGATTCCCAGGACCATATCAGATGAAGAAGAAGAAGAAGAAGAAGAAGAAGAAGAAGAAGAAGAAGAAGAAGAAGAAGAAGAGGAGGAGTTTGGATTTGATATCCCGCTTTATCACTACCCGAAGGAGTCTCAAAGCAGCTAACATTCTCCTTTCCCTTCCTCCCCCACAACAAACACTCTGTGAGGTGAGTGGGGCTGAGAGACTTCAGAGAAGTGTGACTGGCCCAAGGTCACCCACCAGCTGCATGTGGAGGAGCGGAGACGCGAACCCGGTTCCTCAGATTACGAGATTACCACTCTTAACCACTACACCACACTGGCTCTCACAGAACTTCTACAAGCTGACTTCCCCTCATTTAGGGAACTACTCTGCTTGACCCTGGCCAACCCAATTTGATCCATTTCTTACAGCCTTTATCTAAAAAATGAACGCAGTCACACAAGGCAGTGGAAGTTCCTGGAAATATGGTGCCCAAGAAGCCCCTGGTGTTCCAAGAGAATCATCTAGTCCAGAATCCTGCATCCACACAAACAGGCCTCTCTCCTGACAACTCCCCTAGCTCAACATACATATTCATTCAAACAACAACAACAACAACAACTCGAAATCCATCAGCATTTAACAAGGACAATCCCATTGAACTTCCTTCCTCTATTATTCCTCCAAACAAACTGCTATTAAAAACAGTGCCGAAATATAGGACTCTACATCATCAAGATTCTGAGAGAGCTTCGGTTTGACTTTTTCCCTACTTATTTAAATTAACCCAAGGACCAACTAAACAGGCTGTACAATGAGAATTATATTACAGATGAAATTTGCATTTAAAAAACCCCCCAGGAGGTTCAGTTGTCTACTTGCGGGCTGTGTGCACACATATGGACTCCTGCTCTTTAGATACAGGTACACACACAGCTGCATATATATCCTCAAATGCATATTTGCATGTATGTACACCGAGATACATGTGCAGTTTTCTGTACATCTGCTGAAAACAGAAGCAGAAAGGGTTAGATATGCACACATGTATACACATAAAGAGTTGGGGTTCTGGCCACCTTGTCATGCCAACGTGAAAAAGGACAGTTGCAGTTGCTGGTTTTGCAGCCATTAAAGTTTTGCAAAATTTATGAAAAAAGGCTCCTTTTCCCCTTTTTTTCTCGTTTTGCAGTAAGCATCATCGGAAGAAGACCAAAGCAGAGCAACTATTAAGTTAAATATACACTTGAGCTTAGCTGCATTTACATAACTCTTTTAAGAGAAGCAGGCTGAAAGGGTTTTGTTTTATTTAATCATTATGTGTGTTTGTTTTTCCTTTAATTTTTT